CGATGTACACAAAGAGAACATGTTCACAATTAATTTAAGAGATGGGCGCGAAGCGCCCTCTAAGGCTAGTTTCTTTAAACAATACAATTTTGAAAAGTTGAAGAAAAAAACCGATTACTAACCCTACTTACATGCAAATCCGTTCTACAGTATGAACAACATAACTGATATAAAATAAAACCTATTCTTTAACATTCTGTGGTATTTAGTGCTCTCAGCTTGCAAACTAAAGTATTTACATTACAAATGTTGTATATCTCTTAATAAAAAAACATTAGCTAAAACATAAGGCTATGTATCTCCCCCTCCCAAACCACCCCGGCGCCAAACGGTCTATTGCATTGAATAGGGATTTGAGGAGAAGTGTTAAAGTTTTATGTCTCAATTCAAGTGAAATATTAGAACTATTTAGGGTAAAAAGACTAAAGACTCTTGTGCAGGCGGACATACATGATTGTCTATTGGGATTTAAAAGTACTTGAGAGATAGGAGAAGGAGAGATGAAGGAGGGGGTCTTTTGATTAGAAATTTAGAAATAGATGCTAATCTGTGTTAAGCTATATATCCAAGGATAGAATATGTTGAAATGTAATACTACCAAGGAACCTAGAGTAAGGATAGAATATGTTGAAATGTAATACTACCAAGGAACCTAAAGTAAGGATAGAATATGTTGAAATGTAATACTACCAAGGAACCTAGAGTAAGGATATAATATGTTGAAATGTAATGATACCAAGGAACCTAGAGTAAGGATAGATAGAATATGTTGAACTTTGATACCAAGGAACCTAGAGTAAGGATAAATTATTTGTAATAATGATAACAGGAGTAAGGATTGATTATTACGATATTAGGATAAAATAAATGATCTAAGTTATATACAGGATGTTTCTTATAGTTGAACTGTGTGATGCTTCTGAACCCGGAGTAAAACTACCGATCAGCTAATGAACTGAAGAAACATTATCCTACTCCGGATTAATATATAACACAAGAATAAGTTATATATGTACTCTGAACCAAACCAGGACTATAACCTGAAGTTTTCAGGTTCGTATCCTAGTTTCTGTCAATACTCCGATACCTGCAACTAATGCAAACCTAAAACTAAACATTTAACTTCACAATTTTCTCTTTTAAAGAGTCTGGGATCGAGATGAGTTTATGCTAAACAAGTATTTTTAATTTAAAAAAAAATTGACTTGTCGAATTTAAATTTTCTAAGAATCACTCACTTAGAATATAATATAAAACCGAAAGTTCAATTCAATTATGTAAATAAGCTCCAGGAAATTAATTACTCCCCTCTTAGAAATTTTTTTATATACATATCTTTATATATATATAATGTTAAACCTCTGTTTGGGTGTCTGTCTGTTTGTTAGTTTGTTTGTCAGATCATAACTCAGAAACCCCTGGACCGGTTTGCCTCGAATTTTGATTGGATTTTAGTCTTGGATATCATTCTAGTCTTGGATAACATTCTAGTCTTAGATAATTTTAGTCTTGGATATAATTTTAGTCTTGGATATCATTCTAGTGTTGAATATCATTCTAGCCTTGGATATGATTCTTGTCTTGAATATGATTCTAGTCTTGGATATCATTCTAGTCTTAGATAAAGTCTAATTTTGGATATAATTCTAGACTAACTAAAATCAACTATGATCTAAAACCAAGCTACATGTCGGCCAAGCTTTTAAAATCAGCGGTTAACCTCTAAGCCGGGACTGACACCTCAACGAACGTTTGTCCAGGCCCACCAAGCCCTGAAAAAACTATATACAAGAAAAACAATTTACTGTTAAGTTTGAGTGTAATAATGATCTTTATGTCTAATCTAATCTATATATTTTAATCTAGCTTGTCTGTCTGTCTGTTTGTTTCTTAGTATCCAATAAACGTCAAAACGGCTGAACCGATCAGGCTCAAATTTGTGTAGGACCTCACGTGGCCCCAGGGAAGGTTTAAGAATGATCAAAATTTCAAATATTTGTCTTCACCAAAATTCAATTTTCATTAAATTTATGAAAATTTTAAAAATCCACGAAATTTTTTGTTAAAATCCGATAATTTTGTTTGTTTTATTTAATGACGTACACAAAGAGAACATGTTCACAATTAAAATATAAGATGGGCGCGAAGCGCCAGAAAAGCCCAGTAAAATATATTATACGAGGCTATCAAAGAACTTTGCGCCCATCTTCTATTAAAACTTTTATCATTCTTCAATTTTTCATCAGTTTCTTTTCGATAAAACAATAAAAAATTGGAGGTTTTACAATTTTTTTCGTGGATTTTCAAAATTTTACGGAAACAACAAAAAACAGACAGAGACAAGCAAAGTATATGCATAAATTATAGTCTTTTATCAGGGTTACTAAACCTATTATACACAGAACCAGAACACGAAAATATACCTCTTTTATATCATTCCCCGCATAAATCTAAAGTTTTAGGAATCAGGTACAAACAGCCGATTGTGAGCTCTCCGGGTTTCTTATTATGTATGTTTTTTAAAACTACATTTGAATTTTTGAGCTGGGCCAACCTTTGCAGTCCTACTTTGGACAGCACAGCCAAGTTTCATTTACTAAAGGACCTAAAGCGGCAGATGAGAGTGCATTTTCTTTTCTATTTCTTATGCCCGATCAATTCTGCCAGATCAAAGAGGTTGAGGCGTGCTATAGGATGAAATTGTTCCAAGCCCACTGTGTATCTGGTTTAATGTGCAACTTTTTTCTATAGTAACTGTTTTTCTTTACCATATTCAGGCCGACGTCTCCTTTACCTAAAATAGTGACCCTCCCTCCCTTTATTTCAGTTTCGTGATACAAATCTATAACATTTGATACATTTTTGGAAACCCCTTGTTTTGTATTATCAACAAAACGAAACCTTTCAAATCATGTTTGCTATAATGATCTAATATTGAACATTCTCAAAATAGATCTCACTTAAAACAAAAAGAAAAGTTTATCTATATTTTAAATTCTAAGAGTAATCATGCGATGTATTCTTATTCTAGAATTTCTATAGATAAGATGGAGCACCCCTCTCTACAGATCAATCAATCACACAAGTGATATTAAACAGTACTTCACAGAAACCGGTTTCATGTTTACATAGCATATACTATATAGTATATATAAATCTAGAGTATATATAAATCTACATAAAGTATACAGTAAATATATCTATCAATCTATATTTAATCTGTTCATTTAATTACTTCATTATTTTATGTTAAAACAGAAAAATCGATGAAATTAAAAGCAGAAAAAAGACCGCAATCAAGAAATAAGTTATTTAAAAAGTTTTTTGATAAATGTCCTAAATTCTTTTTCAACCAGAGCTGAATACTTTATAATGAGATATCCTTAATCCCGATTACTTAATCACAGTATCCAATGGACACACTTTTGATTTTCTTCCTAAACCGTTCTTTCTTGGATACAGTAGAGAAAAATCAAAAACTGGTTTTTTAAAATTAGATAGTCCCTCCCGTTTCTGTATATTAATCTTAATTGGCGCGCAAAATTTCAAATTTATCAGCTTCATGTACGCGACTCTGATTGGTTGCATTGTAAACACTTTTCAGGATACCAATGCAAGATTAGGTTAGTCTTGATATTAAGAAAAAGAGAGAATCACGCATTTATCTCGATATCCACCATTCTAAAGTTTTCAGCTATGGGCATTGTTTACGGATATTGTACTGAAACTGCCATAGCCAAAAAAATCATTAGATCAAAAAGAATTTAATAAGGAAGAACGAAGGCACACAAAATTGTGCTGTACACTGCAGAAACATGCTCTTACAGATGTGCAGCAATGGTTTTTCCGAAAAACATTTTTTGAATAAAAAAAGGCTACAGTTAATTTTTGTATTTTATTCATCAGGATATGACGTATCAAAATTCAAAACTTATCAAATTGGCTCTTTTTTGTATTGGTGTTCATAGGAACACATGTAAATCAAGAAAGTTATAATATTCTTCATTCTATTTATCTACGTACTCTTCAGTGTTTACTAACTGAAAATCAACAATTTTTAACCTTAAATCCAAGAGAATGAAAAGCAGAGCTTTCTTGGTAAAACTTGTGTTTTACTAATCATAAAAGTTGATTAACCTTTAAAAAAATAGTTTTCAACAGAAACTGAACCAAAATATTTATCTACAGGGTTAACCAAAAAGAATAAGACTGTAAAGACGACCGAAAGCTTAAAAAATATGACGATTTGAAACTTGATTTTGGCATTCAATTGAGTATTTTTATACTTTACTTAAAGATTAAACACAGAAATAAGCAAATTTTGGTCTAGAAGGAACCCTGAGTGCAAGAAAACAGACTAAACAAATTCCGTACAGTCTTCTCTGAAGTCCCATACTTTGTGGGTAACCCTGTATGTAACACAGTTAAAAGAAATTCTAAAATTTTCTTTCTGTCATGGGGAAAAATTCATGCAGTGGTAGGCGAATATTTCAATACAATGAAGACGACTTTTTATTTTATTTTCTATAGTTAACAAGCTTTTCGAATTACTATAGTTAACAAGTAATCAAAGAAATGTTTTAACAGCTTCTCTGGAATTTAATGTTTATTTGTATCCATGCTGTCTAGCAGCTTGGTATAAATTAAAATTGAAATCGAAAGTTGTCTTTATTGTATTTATTTCAAATAAATTTTTTAACATTTACTCTATTTACAAAAAAATGAATTTTTCTTGAAACACCGTTGTTTCTCCTAAACTTGAATTTATATTAGATTAGATTATATTATTTTAAAGAAATATACTAGAGCTTCTGAAGAAGGAAAAAGAATTAAAGTTTTAGAAAATAAGAAATATTACCGAGACTGTTTATTAATATGAGGATAAACAGAGGATGAAGAACAGAGTAGATTGAAATTGAATTTTAAGTACGAAACCGAAAGATGAGAAAAGAAGAAGATTGAAGAATAAGAATAAAACTAAAAAACTGTTTGAAAAGAAGAAGAAAGATGAGGAGAACGATAAGACAATGGTTGAAGGAGTCTAGCAGAAGGGATCGTCTGGTTAACCGGTTAGATAAGAGCTAGTTCGAGGCTCCAGGTTTAGCTCCGAACATAAAGATAGCTAGAAAGATAGATAAGGATGAAGAGAGGCCAAACCATCGGGGAGTCCTCACCAGTTCATGGAAACAAGTGTCGGAGAAACCTCACGGACGCAAGAAAACTAAGACCCGTCTTGTCTCCGGGTAGATCACTAAACCTCGAACAGTACTCATCGTCCATTCCGGAGAATAAAAAACCGTGGACCTAGTGAAAAAATTTGTAGATTAAAGTGAACATTCTGCTCGAATCTCTTCCTTCTCCTCAGACACAGGAATTTCTGGATGTTTCAATCAAAAATTAAATATTCCCATTTCTGAGAGGTTTATCCAGGTTTATCCGCGAAGCCATATTCAGGTTAAAATACTAAAACGGTTTAGTAGGTTAAACATTTCTATTTATTTATTTATCTACATAGAATTTAAATCAAATAGATAAATTGTCCGAACTAGTGTGAAATTTGAATTTTTGCAACATTTTGCTTAGTTTTTGTTTTGTAAAAGGTTTAGAGAGCTGACAAGATGATCCACTTATATAAACTTGGTGAAAGGGAGGGGAGCATGCTCTTCGTAGAGGCGGTNGTTAAAAATTATCATTAAAATATAACTGTCCGGAAAAAGTTGGTAATTCAGAGTAAGATTAAACAAAAGTTAACATTGTACAATTAGATTTTACAATTTACAGTGATCAGTTTACAGTTTAAAGATTACAGTGCACAGTTTACAGTGTACAGCTTTCTTTGTTCAGTTTACATTGTACAGTTTGCAATGTTCAGATTATAGTGCACAGCTTAGAGTGTACAGATTACAGTGTACACTGTACAATTTACATTGTATAGTTTACATTGTTCATTTTACAGTGTAAAATTTACAGTGTACAATTTACAGTGTACAGTTTACAGAGTAAGGCTTATATTGTACAGTTTACAGCTTGTACAGTTAAACCCCCATAAATGTAAAAGAAAAGTTAAGATAAATCTTTCTGGCTTATTAGAAAAAGAATGAATAATTCAGAGACCTTTAGAAAAATAAATAATTAATAAACTAATTATGGTTAACTTAATAAATAAAGAATAATTTTTGCAAAACTTTCTAATTAGTTAAGATGCAAACTGTAAAAAGCTATTTGTGTTGTAATTAATAAAAAAATTAGGAATATTATTTTTTTATCAAAGCTGGGATTAACTTGTGTGTTGCGTGGCAAACTTATAATTAAACATTAAATTTTCACATAATTTTACAAACAAATGAATCCGCGAATTATTAATGGAGTTTTGAGCGTCATTGTGGGAATGGATTTAACATAGATTGATAGAATTAAAATAGAACACTAGAAGTCGTCTTTTCAAGATTGAGAGGTTATTTGTTCACAATAAACCTAATGCAGAAGCCCAAAGAAGTAACGCGCATGCCGCGTAAAACGTTTGTAATTCAACGTGGCATGCGCGTAACTCCTTTGGGCTTCTGCCTCAGGGATATTGTGATAAAAATCCCTGAAATCTTAAAGAGACGATATCTAGTGTTCTATCTGTATTGTTATATATCTATGGGATTTCACTAGAGACATCGGGAAAAGCGGGATTTGTTTTTAAGGTCGCTGATTCTAAAAAGTGATGACCTTTTCACACAATCTCCCCCCCCCCCTCCTCACTAAATTAATGGTACTAAAGATAGCAGAATATGTTTTTGAACATCTAGGATTCTCTAGGATGGATTAAGCAAACCTGGTTTCCTGTAAATGTATTTACGAGTGTCAATCCTCCTTGTCCTTGTTCCTCTACTGGGTAAGTTTAACTTGTTTATAACATTTGTTCTCACGTAGAGTTAGAGCTTCGGGTTGTGTACTATTGTTCTCACGTAGAGTTAGAGCTGCGGGTTGTGTACTATTGTTCTCACGTAGAGTTAGAGCTGCGGGTTGTGTACTATTGTTCTCACGTAGAGTTAGAACTGCGGGTTGTGTACTATGCAGGATATGTTCTCACGTAGAGTTAGAGCTGTGGGTTGTGTACTATGCAGGATATGTTCTCACGTAGAGTTAGAGCTGCGGGTTGTGTACTATGCAGGATATGTTCTCACTTAGAGTTAGAGCTGCGGGTTGTGTACTATGCAGGATATGTTCTCACTTGGAGTTAGAGCTGCGGGTTGTGTACTATGCAGGATTTGTTCTCACGTAGAGTTAGAGCTGTGGGTTGTGTACTATGCAGGATATGTTCTCACGTAGAGTTAGAGCTGCGGGTTGTGTACTATTGTTCTCACGTAGAGTTAGAGCTTCGGGTGTTTACTGTGCAGGATATGTGTGTATACTTCTAAAGATTTAAAGAACAAAAATAAAAAAAATGCCGAGTTATAGAGTTAATTGATCAAAAAAATCACTGGCAAGACTGGGAAAAAAATTCTTAAAAATATATCGCTATACAAAATGGACACACCCCACGTTGCACAGCTCTTCAGTTCTAAAGGGAAAAAAGTAAAAAATGACCCACCCGAGTAAGTAGGTATACAGTGCACGTTAAGCTATAGTAAATTGAACGTAATTTGAATGCTTCCACCATAACTCATCTTATTGAAGAGCTGTTTAGAAAAAATGTAATAAAATAAATTAATTCTTCTCATACTTTAGCATATAATTAAAACCTGAGGAGCTACGAGGTCACTAAGCTGTACCATTAATGTCCCATATATTTTACCTTATCTATCTATCTAGTTTGAAGTGGAAAACATAAAACTGTGAGATAAGAAAATGTATGAGTCAGGAGTTAAAGTCATTTTGATTAGTGGTAGAATGAGTTCATCTGAGTACATCATCATGCTAAAAAAGTACGCTTATTCCGTAAGGATCCGTAAAAACCGTTCCGCATTTTTTAACGTATAACTACTATGAGTAGGTAAAGTTAGGCTAAGTTAGGTTCCGTAACTACCAAAGTTTTTGTAAAGTTTTATTTTATAACAGATTTAATAAAAATCGTCAACTATTTCCGTCATGGACATTTTTTGGAAAAGATTGGAAATGCTCCCCGTGAGCTACTCAATTTGCAAGAAAGTATTTATTTCCATGAACAATATTTTTAATACGGTCTGTCTTACCATGGAAAAGAGCGTTTTTCTAACCCTAAAAAAAACTTGGATATCTGAATCTATGATTTTCTTTAATTTGGATTTCTATAAGCTGAAGCTCATTTTATCAGCTTCTGGAGTAATTTTATGGAGGAGCAATACATGTTTGTCTATAGGGTCACCTTAAAATTTGGACATATAACTTAAATAATTGTTTGGGGACTACAGAAAAAAGTAAGTTGAAAAAATGTAAAAAAGCAAGAATTTTTCTCGATGAAATTTACATGTGACACAATAAGTATAATTAGTTTGAAGGTATCTAAAAATGTAATTTTTAAAAGCAATAGAGCTCAAATAAAAANGGTTAGACGAAATAGTTCTGAAAAGAAAAGATGCATACATTTAGCTTTACTGCAATGATTACAAATTCTAGAATTATACGCTGTATATATCTCTGTGAATGGGGGTACCCGCAGAGGGGGAAATACGGGGAATAAGGGGGAATTATTTACAATTACTTTGCAGGGTAGTTAGGGTAATTTTACTTTACTATAGGGTTCCCAAGACTGGAAACCCTACGCTCAGGACGTTTCGTAGGTAAAGTTGGTCGAGTGAACCCGTAACAAAATTGGTCATTTAGCGACATTTTTCTCAAGAACTTCGAAGAGTGGAATGAATGGTCGGTAATGTCCAAGTTTTTAGCTTCGAATGTTTTTAACTTCATGATTTGTAGCCTTGAGAAAATGTGGGTTTTGCCACTGGTTCTTTTAAATCCATGGGGGGGGGGGTTGCATTGTTACGGCACAGCTGTTCAATCTAATAAATATTGCAGAATTTTTGTCATGGAGTAAATGGCAAAACCTTGAACTTTTGCAACATTGCACAAAAAACATTAAAGGGGCCATAGATCATTGAACTCAAGTTCATACTTCTTTTAACAAATATACCTCAATTTGGTTTCAAGAATTTTCAAAGAATATTTAGGAGATTAGAAAATTGGTTAATGTCAAAACTTAGAAAATATGTGAACAAATAAATCTTTCCTGTCATAAATCCAGTTTTCAACAAGTCAAAACAAATACACAATAATTTAAAGGGACTGTAAGCGTAATTTCAAGTGACCTTTAATGCAAAGATGGCAATACCCGATTAACCACGGTATCTTTAAAAGCTTTGCCTGATCAATTAATTAGTATGAATTTTCAAGGGAACCGTTGTGAATTGGTAATTGCCATCTTTGAACGGAGGACCACTTGAAATTAAGCTTACGGTCCCTTTAAAAAGCGTTTTTTACAGAATAAAGTGTATTTATGTTTTGTAAAGGTTTGTGTGAGAAAATTGTCTGGTTTGGATAGGTGCTAACCAGAGAAAAGAATAGAACACTGTTTAGAAGAATAGACCCGTCTCTGAAACTGTAGACCTAAAGATAAATATACATGATGGCACTACATTAAATCAAACAATGCTGAATAATCTAGCAAAAACAAACAGCAAACTCACAAGCTGAAAATACATTTTTTATCAAACTTTTAAAAGTTTCAAAAATCAAATTAGTTCTTAAAACTTGATTTCAAAAATGCAACCTTACAGTTTTTAAACAAATATCCTTAATATCCTTTCTCATCAGCAATAGAATAGAATTACTTAGGATTAAATGCTTTTAAAGGCAAATAATGCTATTTCATCTTGCATTTAAAAATTGTTTTTTGTCGATAATTTGTTTCTCATTTATATCTTTACTAACTTCCTGACAAATAATCATTGGTTTTAAATTACTTCAACTTATTTTGAGGGTGCATTTAGCTGTAACAAAAACCATTGCAGTTTTTTTGTTAATTGGTTTTAAAGAAACAATTTGGAACTTCACAAAACTTTGTTTCTGATTAAGATTTATTAATGCATTTTTTTACACAGAAAAAGTTTAAAACATTTACTCATTTTTCCTGGACTTTTTGCAAAGAAACTAAAAACTTGCCAAATCTGTACTTTTCTAATTTTGCAACATATAGACTATAGTGTAAACCGTTGACATTTTGTACTTGGGGGCGCAGTATTAAATCGATCAATGTTTGAAATATCAAAGGTTACAAAGATATACGAATTGAAAAACGGTTTGTGTTCATTTTTTTATTGTTTTTTTTATGCAGCTCATCTTTGCAATACTTGAACTTGTGGCAAAAAAAGATGCAACATTATTTTGTTGGATTTTGAAAATATTCAGTCGGCACCTCCGAGCCGATCTTTATTATTTATATTTTGATCTTATAGACTCAATTCATTATGTTGTTAAAAGAAGAATAACCCCCTGAAACTTAGGTAAATTGTACCTAAGATTAGAAAGTCTTTTATGTTTTCAATCATAACTAAACGAAATTGAAAAGCATTTGAGAAAAACAAACATGCTTGGAATTCCTAATATCTAACAAAATACCTACTTTTGCAAAAAATCCAAACTAGAGGAGCTGTGACGTCACAAGGTCTTCCCAGTCGAACACATTTGACATTTCTCGTCTGGTTGATTTGCAGTTTAATGTAGCAACCCTCGCCAGAGAGCCCAACATTTTGCGATTTTATTTTTTATTTTTTTTATCCTTTTTTGGACAACCTCGGCTTTAAACCTATAAAGGCAGGGGGGGTCTGATACTAATGTCGCCCCGCCCCCCCCCCCCCGCATGAGCCTTAGAGAATAAGTTTAGGGTTGAATTGTTAAAAATATTTTTGTTTGTTTAAAACAAATATCAACGTGTGACACATGTTTCTACATCAATATTTCAAGGGCTTTTCAAAAATATAGTTTTTAGATCTGTAGCTTTAGGCGTAAAAAAGTTATGGGCTATTTTAGTTTTTATACACAGACCGGACTTTTAACTGCCCTGTACCCTACCCCATGCATGAAAAATTTTACAAAAAAAACTTTAAATTTCTGTTTATTAAAAGTCAACAAATTAAATGGTGTCAAATTTGTAGTGCTAGGGAAAAAAACTAGAGGGGGGAGGGGCGCAAAACGGGACAGCCTGTTTAGGGTTAATTTGTCACAATTTGGATTCAATTTTACATCACCATCTCTAAATTACATTTTTGTAGCCCTAGAAATGTACATTTCAAAATTGCAACGCGTTTGTTTATAGCTCAAGTCTAAAATGAGGAATTGGTAAAATTTAATGCATTCAATTTTAATTTAAAAGTTTTTGCAGTGGATATAGTCGCTGAATCTAAGCACCATCCTCTTCAAAAGTTTTGGCCCACAGATGTGCAGGCTGATGTTCTTGTTAACAACTCGTGTATTGAATTATATATCTATATTTATAAAGTTGTAATCTCTATTTGTCAGTCTGTTTGTTTGTCAGCTCATAACTCAGGAACCCTTGGACCAATTTGCCTCAAATTTAGACGAGGGAACTTGGGAGAGCCACGGGAACCATGACCCACTGTGCAACTTTGGGTTCCCAAGCTAGTATATATATATATAAAGTAGTAATCTCCGGTTGTTTGTTTGTTTTTCCGATCATAGATCAAGAACACAATGACCGACTTGCCGCAAATTTTGATTGGAGAACTTGGAAGAACCACGGAGATATTCTTATCTTGGTTTCAGATCTTAAGTTGAGTCTGTCCAAATTTTAGACATTGTGCGGGTAAACGGCGGGAGTAATTGAGTTTCCAGGGCAACGTAGGGTTCCCCAGGCTAGTTTTATGAAAAGAATAAGATCATTATTATTATCAGAAAATTCAACAATTCATTTTATAAAACATAAAAATGATATTCATTATTTGCCTGCTAGTCTGAAGGTTGAGTGATCTAGTTATTTCATGACGGATAATTATGCTGAGATGATCTTGTAATATATATATATATATATATATATATATATAGATATATATATACATATCCTTTTATTCCAAAAATACCGTAATGTAAAAAGAAAAAGGAAACATAGATTGTATTTTAAGATTTCGTTTGAACAGAATTTTTCCAAATCTTAAATTCCATTATCTCGGAAAAAAAGGAGGACATGAAACACAATTTATACAAGAACAAAAAAGAATCTAGATTATTTTTAGAAAAATGGATTTTTATTCCAAATTGATATGACTTCAGTAAATATTAGTATTTTTACAATAATTTCAAGTTTAAATAGATTTCCAATTTTAAGTTTAAAACTTTCCTGAAAATTTTCCCAAATTATCATAAAATTATAAAATGTTTTGTTACTAAAGAGTAAAAGCATTCACAGCATTTCATGGAAATGTTTAAAAAAGAAAGGACTTGAAGTTACTCTTCATTTAAAGAGTTATGAGCTTGATTTACCACGGTACCTCTTAATTGAGGAATCTATATCCTCGTTTTTCTAAAATTATTGATAACACATTGAAAGGAATTGAGTCTTTGCCACAAACTCTGATTTTCTAATCACTTTATCTTTGGAACCAAATGTTGTAGACCTTAGATATTTCAAACTATGAGTTCTTTTAAATCAAATAATCTGAGTTTGAAATATCAAAGGTTTACAAGATCGGGTTCAAGAGATATTGGGGTTTAAACATTTGATTTTGTTCCAAAGACTCAATTCCTTTATAATATTAGAGTTAAAAACAGTCTTACATATTCTCCAGATGACATATTTGCAACATGCATTGTGAGTCGAACCTGCCACTATTAAAATGGAGTTCCACCTAAAATAGCGTCTAAATTCCCTTTAAAGGAACTCAGTTCTGGCAAAAACTCACATTTTTAAATCCCAATATTTTTTCAACGGCGGATAGTGTAAACCTTTGATATTTAATTCTTAGACTATTAGATCCAACAGATTTGATAGTCTGAAATAGAATAAGGCTACGACATCGGGTTGCAAAGATGTTTAAGGATAAAATATTAGAGTTTGAGACAAAAAACTTATTATTGGATTTAAGGCTAATACGTAAGAAAACTAGAGTTTGTGGCAACAAAACTCAGTTCGTTTGTTATTCACATATTGAAAAACGTCATAAAACGTATCGAGAGTGTAAAAAGTAAAAGCAATCAGAATCCAAGAATTGAAACAATAAAAATAGTTTTCAGATATTTAGCAATATTTTCCAGAAATACGGGAAGTGATTTGACAGAGAAAAACAAGAAATGCTAAAAAGGGGAACAGTTAAAAAAAAAAAAAACAGAAATATAGAATGTATATCACAAAAACAAAGTAATAATCTCAAAAATTAAAAAATTATTAAAGCTTTTGTTAAATATCCTCAGATGTATATAATGCTATATGAATGAACGACACTGTCCAAGAAAAAGGAAACGATTAGTTTACTGTGTATTTCAATCTACACTGTATTGTAAGAGTTGCATGTCCGATTACGAAGGTACCCAACTGATCATGGACTACGTGAAAATTTATATTTGTGTAGTTGGAAATTTATTCCATGGAAAGTGCGAGTATGCACTGGGATGGAGTGTACTACTTGTTATCCTCCTGTTCTCTACTTGTTATCCTCCTGTTCTCTACTTGTAATCCTCCTGTTCTCTACTTGTTTTCCTCCTGTTCTGTACTTGTAATCCTCCTGTTCTCTACTTTTTATCCTCCTGTTCTCTACTTGTTATCCTCCTGTACTCTACTTGTTATCCTCCTGTTCTCTACTTGTTATCCTCCTGTTCTCTACTTGTTATCCTCCTGTTCTCTACTTGTTATCCTCCTGTTCTCTACTTGTTATCACTATAACATGTATTCTAGCTCTCGTAACCTAATAGAATATCTAGGATATACTTGCTCAAACAAAGAATTAAAGGGTACCGTTGTAAATCTGACATGCTACTCTATAGATCGAAATTCATGAATATTCAAAATAAACATTAATATTCTATTTGTGTTTAGACTGTTGGGAAACAAGGATACGACACCACAGGAACCATGATGAGGAGCATCTTGAACCGGTTAGGACGGAGCTCCTGACTAGCTCCGGGACTACCAATAGTAAGGAACTAGTGGACGAGGTTGTGGATAAGGATGGACCGGTTTTCAGGTAAAAATTCTAGTTTTTTATTCATTTAATATTCATTCATTAATTCATACATTTATTCTTAGAAATTGGCACATACATATTACAATATGAACCAAAGGCAGTTAATGAATATGTGCGTATCTAAATCACATATATCCAGAAAGCTATGAAAAGTTTCATCAATTTTTATGACTGGGAAAACTTTTGTTTATCCCTAGTACATGCCCTTGCATTAAGCTTAAGTGTTAAGAACAGATTAGCAATATTCTCGTCGATTTTTGCGTCTATCATCCTTACACATACATGTAATGTTGCTTGATCTTCAGGACAAACCTTTACTTAAGTTAAATATGTGCACAATTTTATGCTGATAATGTATAAATATATCCAAAAATATTTTAAAAGTTTGTGTTTATTAAAGTCAGATTAAAAACAAATCCACTTAAACTAATTTCTTTTAATCCATTTTGTTTGAGTCAGCCTCCAAGCCTAACCTATCAAAAACAAATCTCAAGTTCTCCCAAGTTTATAAAACTGAAATGATTATAAAATACAATTTCCAGTAACAGAAACTACTCCTGAGTCTAAAACTAAAGAATGCGCGAGTTTTAAGTTCGAGGTTAAAAGTTATGTAAAATAATGAGTAGCTACTTAAATATTAAACTTTCTCAATTTTAAATTTGAATTTCCCGGGAAAATCTGAACCAATCAGAGAAAAGGATTTTCGGAGAATATTACATAACCATCGCTAATCAGCTGTTCTTACGTAACCTAAAACAAAACATACAACCGTTTTTTGGGTTTACATCCAAAAATTAATTAATCTAAAACGTGAAATTTCTTTAACAAGGTTTTCACTTTTAAATGTATCGTAAAGTTGAATGCCGCTTTCTCAGCTGCAGCTGAATGATGATTGAATAATAGACAAATAGGGAAAATGCAGGATTTCAAGATAATTTAAACCTCTGTTTGAATTTTAACTCGTCGATTTCGGCGAGTTAAATATTTAACCACAGGGTTAAATATTTAACCTCACGGTTAAAGTTCAAGTTTAAATTAAGTCAGAAGTGGCATTTAACCATGAACTTAAAATTTAAGTCAAAACTTTTCGTTCTTTAGTTTTAGACTCTGTAGAACTTTATATAACTATTATTCTGAATAAAGTAGAATGGAATTAAATTTTATGTCTCTCAAGAAACCTTTCATAGAGTTCCAGCTTAAACAAACATAATTTCTGGAAGATAACAAAGAATTTTCTTCAAAACCTTCTTGGCTCAGAGTTCCCACTTAGTCCATTATCCAGTTTTTTGTATTTTTTTCATCTTTTGTTCCAATGGGACACAACTGTTATTGAAGGATTAATGAATTAGTAATTTGTATAAAAAAACCCAACTTCGGAAAATTTCATACTTCCTCTACTACATAATTCTTCCACTACATACTTCTTCCACTACATACTTCCACTAGTGCATAATTCTTCCACTACATACTTCTTCCACTACATACTTCCTCTAGTACATAATTCTTCCACTACATACTTCTTCCACTACATACTTCTTCCACTGCATATATCCACTAGTACATACTTCTTCCACTACATACTTCTTCCACTACATACTTCTTCCACTACATACTTCCACTAGCACATACTTCCTCTAGTACATAATTCTTCCACTACATACTTCCTCTAGTACATAATTCTTCCACTACATACTTCCACTAGTACATACTTCCTCTAGTACATAATTCTTCCACTACATACTTCTTCCACTACATACTTCTTCCACTACATACTTCCACTAGTACATACTTCCTCTAGTACATACTTCCTCTAGTACATTCTTCCTCTAGTACATACTTCTTCCACTACATACTTCCACTAGTACATACATCCTCTAGTACATAATTCTTCCACTACATACTTCCACTAGTACATACTTCCTCTAGTACATACTTCCTCTAGTACATACTTCTTCCACTACATACTTCCACTAGTACATAATTCTTCCACTACATACTTCTTCCACTACATACTTCCACAAGTACATACTTCCTCTAGTACATAATTCTTCCACTACATACTTCCTCTAGTACATAATTCTTCCACTACATACTTCTTCCACTACATACTTCCACTAGTACATATTTCTTCCACTACATACTTCTTCCAATACAAACTTCCTCTAGTACATAATTCTTCCACTACATACTTCTTCTACTACATACTTCCTCTAGTACATAATTCTTCCACTACATACTTCTTCCACTACATACTTCCACTAGTACATAATTCTTCCACTACATACTTCTTCTACTACATACTTCCTCTAGTACATACTTCTTCCACTACATACTTCTTCCACTACATACTTCCACTAGTACATAATTCGTCCACTACATACTTCCACTAGTACATAATTCCTCCACTATGCTGAAGACGGAGATCTAAGGAACTGAGTTTTTACCACAAAGTCAAACTTTCTAATGGTTATATCTTTGTAACCTGATGGTGTAAACATTTTATATTTCAAACTTAGACACTTTGATCTAACAGAATTCATGTTTGAAATATCAAGGGTCTACAACATCGGGTTGCACAGATATAGAGATTCGAAAATCAGAGTTTGTGACAAAAAATCAGTTCCTTTATGCGACAAGATTTCTCTTTACTATTTTGGTTATAGGACATTTCCATCATAATGAAGAAAAAAACACTTTGACATAAAATCTTAACTTGAGACATTTAAAACAATTGTTCTGTTAGTAAGAAATTGTAGTAAAGTCACCTAGAAACCTATTTTTCCTTTATTTTCAAATCTAATTTCAAGTGTCTGGCTATTTAGGTCTCCGCGGAGTAAAGTTTAAAGTTCGTCAACCAGCTTTGTATTTGTTCGACTAAATGAATATACTTCTTTCTTTATTCTATCTTTCAAAACTTAGAAAAAACAAAATAAGTAAATAATAAGTTTTAAACTTTATATAATATCTGTCCTCTACATAATCTATGTATAAAGTATTTTTCTCTGTTTGTTTGTTTGTTTTGGTGTTTGTTTGTTTGTTTGTTTGTTTGTTTGTTTGTTTGTTTGTTTGTTGTATGTCCGATATTCTCCACTAAAACCCACAATTTCTTTGGTCTGAGTACTACAGATTACTGCAGTAAGCTTAGTATAGGGTCCCGATCATAACTCATGAACCTTCCGACCGATTTGTCTCAAATTTTGAATTGGAAACTTGGGAGAACAACGGGAATGTTCTTACCTTTTTTATTTTAGCGGGTTCACTTTTATAGGAAAAAATAGCTAAAATTGAGTTAGCACATAATGTTATTCTAAATAAACCGATATAGATAAGTTGGTAGACATTTTTCTTGATCTTTATAAAATACTCAACGTTACTTAAAGTTATTTTGCAACCACTCAAGACCAAAGTTATCTAAAATGCAAACCACTCATGTTAGCTAAGGTCAAAATTTTTGTAATAATTTTGATATACGGCGCCTAAAATTTAAATCAATAAGGTCATGAGACTTTTAATTTTAAATGATTTCGTACTTTATATGTGGATTTGTTAGTCAACTACTAATGTTAGATGCATCAACAATGATTTAACTTTATCCGTCGGATTTTTGAAAATTGCTGATTAACGGTATAAAACTTTAAACAACCATATTTATTATTTACTGCGATAATAAAATTTGTTGTAAATATAAACAGAAAATACAAGCTTTACATTAATAACATTCAGAAATAAATAATATATATTTTACAGTATATAACCTCCAGTCAGATGTTTTGGTTTTTAAAATTAGGTATCAAGGATTGATCTACATCTTGTGCAAACCTAATTATTTTAATTTCCAGGTGGTTAAAACAAGAGGATCAATCTTTTTTCTTTAACCCTGAACAGGTTGGGGGGGGGACTATAGTTTTTCTTTAACCCTAAACAGGCTGGGGGGCACTATAGTTTTTCTTTAACCCTAAACAGGCGGGGGGGGGGGTACTATAGTTTTTACCCTTGCACTTTCATTTTTGACACTATCACCGTGAAACTTTGTGACTTTTAATAAATAGTAATTTCAAGGATTTTTTGTAAAAACATTTTTTTAATGCTTGGGTAGGGTACAGGGCAGTAGGAAGTCCAGATTGTGAAAAAAAAATAAAATAGCCCATAACTTTTTTTGTGACTAAAGCTACAGATATAAAAATTATAATTTTGAGAAGCCCTTGAAAAATGGATGTAGAAACATAAGTCACACTTTGATATCTGTTAAAAAAAAAAAAAAAAATTTCCCATTTTTTGAGATTTTGAGCATTGAACGCAAGAAACTAATTTGATAATTCTGAATACATATTATGAGAAAAAAACGCTTCTAATTATTTGATTCGGTTTATTCGAAATTCTTTTGTTTGAATTTAGATGAATTCATGGTTTTGAATATAAAAGCAAGTTGACATTTTGAAAATGCATTTTTTTCATTCATGTTTTTAAAATCTATTCTTATCTTTTTCTTTTCTTTCTATATTTTAATAATATAACTAGTCGGTTAAATCATCGTTTTTGTAATTAAGGGGAGTAATGTATCAAAAATATTAAATTATATAAATTGTTGCATTTTCATCACTTTTTCACAAAACTAAAACCCGTCTTCTGTAATGAAGAAGATATAAAAAGAAATAATAGAAGGATTTCATTGAACAAATGAAAGGAAATTGCAAAAGAATGCTATTTACGAAAGATATAAATGAATTGAGTCTTAGCCACAAACTCTGATTTTCTAATCACTATATCTTAGGAACCAAATTTTGTAGACCTTAGATATTTCAAACTATCAATTCTGTTAGATCAAATAATCTGAGTTTGAAATATCAAAGGTTTACAACATTGAGGTCTAAAGATATTGAGGTTTAAATATTTGATTTTGTTCCAAAGACTCAATTCCTTTCCAGTGGCCGAATTTAAAGAATTTGAACGGCGGTTTAAATTTAAGCCACGGTTTAAATATGCTTGGTTCCACTTAAAAGTGTATCAAATGTTTCAAGATTTAAACCGGCGCTTAATTTAAATCGGGTTTTGGCGGATTTAAACCGCGGCTCAAATTCTTTAAATTCCATCTCAGTAAATATTTTAAACTTTGGATCAAAGCGTCAATCCAAGAATTCTATTAACGATTTACAACTGAATTATTTAAACCTTTATCTGTTTACCCTAAAAAGGCTGGGGGGCCTGATTCAATGTAAAGCTTGAGGGGGGGGGGGCGTTTGGCGCCCCCCCCCCTAGAAAAAGGCAAGGCCTTAGAGAATAGGTATAGGTGTGAAATGCTTATCCATAGCCCAATATTTCATTGGCCAGCCTAAAAAAGGGTCAAAAAAATGAAAAAACATATTCTTTTTTGTTTTAAACAAATATCAAAGTGTGACACATGTTTCTACATTAATTTTCAAAAATATAGTTTTTAGATCTGTAGCTTTAGTCACAAAAAAGTTACGGGCTATTTTAGATTTTTTTTCACAAACCGGACTTTTTTTCCGCCCTGTACCCTACCCTATAAATTAAAAAAGGATTTTTTTTTATCAAAAAATCCTTTAAATTACAATTCATTAAAAGTCACAAAGTTTTACGGTGATAGTGTCAAAAATGAGAGTGCTACGCCAAAAAACTACAGGGGGGGCGGGCCGCCAAAAACACCCCCCCCCCAGCCTGTTCATAAATTGTCATTTATCACTGTCATTTTACAAATTTCGACCATTGTCTCGATATTCTTTATAGCAATGATATTTAAAGAAACTGTCTAATCGTTTTAAACTTAAATTTTCTGAAACTTCTATTCTTATAACAAGATGGCGTTGATTAAAGATATTTTAAAGAGTCATATTTTGTACAAAATAAGGTTTACACTATCAGGTTGCATAGATATAGGGGTTAGAAAATTTGAGTTGCAGTCGAATAAGCAGATCCTTTACTTTGAAAATATTTTTCTACATATACAATACTGATGTTCAATTGTACAATCTTTAACTACATACACAATACTGTTCAATTGTACAATATTTGTCTACATAAACAATACTGTTCAACTGTACAATATTTTACTACATATACAATACTGTTCAATTGTACAATATTTTTCTACATAAACAATACTGTTCAATTGTACAATATTTTTCTACATATACAATACTGTTCAATTGTACAATATTTTACTACATATACAATACTGTTCAATTGTACAATATTTTTCTACATAAACAATACTGTTCAATGGTACAATATTTTTCTACATATACAATACTGTTCAATTGTACAATATAAAAAGAAAGAACTAATGACAGTAGAGCAAGATGAGTAATTGGAATTTAATCATAGAAATGCTAAGTTTCGAGAACACTCCTCTGCTAGCTTTCTACACTTCATTTATTAAACAAATAAGTAAAAGAATTATGTTTTAATTAAAAACCACCATTTATTGATAATTGCCAGTAGAAAAATTTAAAAATTTAAAAATATTGTTTGTTATAGTTTCATGTAGTTAAAAAAATCCTTGATCATTTTTTGCTAAAATATTTACTGCATATAAATTTATAATGCCTCACCTCCCTCCCACAAATTAACCCTACCTGGTCCCGGCCCCTTTCAAAAACTTTTGACGCCCGATCAAATGAGAACTTCCGTCCGCCCGCCCCCCCCACCCCTTGGCAATAGTTGCGCCTTTCACTAACATTTCATTTTACTATACAGTGAAACCCTTAATAACGAATACATCGGAAGAATTTATCAATTGTCGTCTTGACATTTTTTCAATGAGTTTTATACTATATTACGTAAATTTCAGTATTTGCGAAAATAAATAAATAGCCATGAATATGCGGGAACGGTTTTAAAGAGCTCCATATAATCATTTAATTAAAAAACTAAATATCTGCAACATTCCATTATCAGAAAGTGAAGAATACGACATTTGATGAATTCTTTCGATGTATTCGTTATTAAGGGTTTCACTGTACGATATTGTTTTAATTTCATTAAGCATGAAGCCGTATAGTCCATGTTATAATCTTTGAGAATTGTTTTCAATGTGACAGATTAAAAACGTACATTTTTAAAGGATTAACTTTTAGTTTTAATAAGTCTACATTTCATGGATGGACAAAAAGAGCTGTTGAATAAAATTTGCAACCTGAGGCCGAATTTAAAGAATTTGAGCCCCGACTCAAATATGAGACGCGTTTTAAAGATGGTTGGTTCCACTTGAAATTGTGTTTCGAGAGTTGAGCCGGCGCTCAATTGGAACTGTTTTTTGGTGGATCTGCGACGGGATTTAAATTCTGTAAATTCAGCCTCTTATGGTCTAAATCTTGGATATTTTAAACTTTGATAGATATTTTTAGATATCTATAAGGGATCTAAAAAAATTCTAAAAAGAAATTGAGTTTTTCAAATTTTCTAATCCCTATACCTTTGCACCGTGATGGAGTAAACCTTTGCTACTTAGATTATTTGAGCTAACAGAATTCATATACTTCATACGACATTGTGCTGAAAAAATATAAAATCTAAATGTCCCAGTTTGTGTCAATGACCCATTTCTCTATATAATTATTAGAAAATCAGAGATTGAGGAGAATAATATTTTCATTTCCTTAAAGGGGGGTTTTCACACACATTTCCTTAAAGGGGGGTTTTCACACACATTTCCTTAAAGGGGGGTTTTCACACACATTTCCTTAAAGGGGGGTTTTCACACACATTCTTTTAAATTGTAAATCTGTAAAGCGGCCTTTTCTGAAATGTCCCAACACATTTGTGTAATATTACCTTTCATTCCAAATGTAAAAAAAGCATTTTGATTGAATTTAATTTTGTTTAGGTCCCGAAACAACAGTGTAATGTATGCCCATGCAGGGAGTACTACAAGTCTATCCTGTCAGATATTTAAGGATGTGCAGCACGGAGTGGTAATCATTTTTTACATTTTTGAAAACAAGTTTTGACATGTTTTTTTTACAATTTTTCTATTTTTTCAAATTAGAATTGTAGATTATTTAAGTTTTGTCAAGTTTTTCAAAATTGTGATTTTTTTTCTGATGTCGTGTTTTCTTTTGCCATTAAAAAATAAAAAACTGCGATTCCATTTCTTTATCACTTTTGTTTAATGATATTTGAAGATAGTCGGTGCCTGGAAATCCAATAATATTTGCTGGGGAATTGTTCTAAGAAAGTAGAAAAGATTGAATGGAAAGAAAAGGCTAGACCCAGAATATAAACAATCTTTCCATGCTAATAGTATTCTTCAAGATCATTATTCATGGAATATATTTTGCACTTTAGACCTGCATATAGATTTACTTGTTCAAGAATGTATACCATTGTGAGCTCTTATATCTATCGGAAAACTACTGATTGCTATTAAATCTACAGTTTGCTATTAAAGAAAAAAGTTTACACATTTGTGAAGTCGTCTACAAAAACCTGTTCCATGATTTCTTGAAAAAAACTTAAAAAGAGAAATTAATTTAGATAACCTGGGGTTTACTGGCTCAGGAAGGACAACCCTATACTCTTCTTACAGTTGGAGACTCCTCCTACATTGATAACTTAAGATTCTCAATTGAAAAACCTATTCGACATGACGTAAGTAGATTATAATCAACATAGTTTGGGAACATTATTCAGATTTCAATATATTTGCTCAACTCTTTTAAAATGTTAATATCGCGATGGCATTCTATAAAGACATAGTTCTGAAAACTAAAACCACAAAAATACACCAATGAATGCCAGAACACATCCCCCCACTCCCACTCCCCATCACCGTGATATGTTTGAGAGACCAACTAACAGACAGATATAAATATAAATAAGAATAAATGATTGAATATCAAGAAAAGAGAAAATCTTACACTGCAAATAATGTTATCATTACTGTCTATAATACATAAATTCGGAGTTATATAACTTCCTTTATATTAAAGGTTTTTAAAGATTTTTTTTTAGCAATGGAATCTCCTTATTAAACCTGTGGAGATAGAAGACAGTGGAACATATGAATGTCAAGCAACCACTCATCCACCCCAATCCATCATGGTCAAGCTAATTGTACTAGGTCAGTATAAAGTCAGTATATTGTCAAGCTAGATTCACTAAGTCAGTATATTGTCAAGCTAGGTATACTAGGTCAGTATTTTGTCAAGCTAGGTGTACTAAGTCAGTATATTGTCGTAATGGGTGTACTAGGTCATTATATTGTAAAGCTAGGTGTACTAGGTCAGTATATTGTCAAGCTAGGTGTACTTGGTCAGTATATTGTCAAGCTAGGTATACTAGGTCAATATTTTGTCAAGCTAGGTGTACTAAGTCAGTATATTGTCGTAATGGGTGTACTAGGTCATTATATTGTAAAGCTAGGTGTACTAGGTCAGTATATTGTCAAACTATAGGTGTACTAGGTCAGTATATTGTCAAGCTAGATTCACTAAGTCAATATATTGTCAAGCTAGGTATACTAGGTCAGTATTTTGTCAAGCTAGGTTTACTAAGTCAGTATATTGTTGTAATGGGTGTACTATGTCATTACATTGTAAAGCTAGGTGTACTAGGTCAGTATTTTGTCAAGTTAGGTGTACTAGGTCAGTTTATTGTCAAACTATAGGTGTACTAGGTCAGTATTTTGTCAAGTTAGGTGTACTAGGTCAGTATATTTCCAGGTTAGGTTAACTAGGTCAGTATATTGTCAAGCTAGGTGTACTAGGTCAGTATTTTGTCAAGCTAGGTGTACTAGGTCATTATTTTGTCAAGCTATGTGTACTAGGTCAGTATATTGTCAATCTAGGTGTACTAGATCATTACATTGTCAAGCTAGGTGTACTAGGCCAGTATATTATCAAGCTAGGTGTACTAGGTAAGTAATTTGTCAAGCTAGGTGTAATTGGTCAGTATATTGTCAAGCTAGGTGTACTAGGTCAGTAATTTGTCAAGCTACGTGTACTTGGTCAGTAATTTGTCAAGCTATGTGTACTAGGCCAGTATATTGTCAAGCTAGATGTACTAGGTCAGTAATTTGTCAAGCTAGGCGTACTTGGTCAGTATACTGTCAAGCTAGGTGTACTAGGTCAGTATATTTTCATGCTAGGTGTACTAGGTCAGTATATTGACAAGCTAGGTGTACTAGGTCAGTATATTTTCAAGCTTGGTGTACTAGGTCAGTATATTGTCAAGCTAGGTGTACTAGGTCATCATATTGTCACAGGTTAGGTTAACTAGGTCAGTATATTGTCAAGCTAGGTGTACTAGGTCAGTATATTGTCAAGCTAGGTGTACTAGGTCATCATATTGTCAGGCTAGGTGTACTAGGTCAGTATATTGTCAAGCTAGGTGTTCTAGGTCATTATATTGTCAAGCTAGGTGTACTAGGTCAGTATATTGTCATGCTAGGTGTACTAGGTCAGTATATTGTCAAGCTAGGTGTACTAGGTCAGTATATTGTCAAGCTAGATGTACGAGGTCATTATATTGTCAAGCTAGGTGTACTAGGTCATTATATTGTCAAGCTAGATGTACTAGGTCAGTATATTGTCAAGCTAGGTTTTCTAGAGGTTAGTATATTGTCAAGCTAGGTTTTCTTGAGGTTAGTATATTGTCAAGCTAGATGTTCTATAGGTCAATATATTGTCAAGCTAGGTGTTCTAGAGGTCAATATATTGTCAAGCTAGGTGTTCTAGAGGTCAGTACATTGTCAAGCTAGGTATACTTTTTAAGTCATGATACATTTAGCTTATCCTAATTTCACGGAGTTTCCGAGCTAATTTAAACTTAAAATATGGCGGAAAAATAACAATTTTATCTTTTTTCATAAAATGCGTTTTAGATAATGTGTAAATGTGGTCATTATAAAAGGTTAAAAAATATTTGTTTATTCTACATAATAATTTGTCCATGAATTTCAATAATTGATATCTATACTCAACAACATCAACAAAATATTTAAGCAGTTTTTTTTAAAGATTTTCAAGTTACTTAATAGTTAATATTTAAACTTTAATTAATTTAAACTCTGATTAATTTAAACTCTGATTTTTTAATCTCTTTATATTTGCAACCCAATGACGGTGACCTTAAAAATTTCAAACTATGAATTCTGTGAGATTAAATACTTAAAAATATCTAAGGTTTACATCATTAGGTTGCAAAGGTAGAGTGAGTAGAAAATTTGAGTTTGTGGCATAGACTTATTTCCCAATTATTTACAGAGGCATATGCTGAAATTATTGGAACAAAAGAGAAGGTGTTTAAAAGTGAATCAAACCTTCAGCTAGTCTGTGCTTTACAGAAAGCTACAGCTAAACCTGACTTCATTTTCTGGTAAGTTTTTAGAAAAAGATTGCTTACCTCAAACTTAAATCCTTTTTGACGTGCCCTGGACAGTGGACATAGAAGGGCTTTTCTTGTAGTTGTGTACTGTTATTTAAATATTTGAATTATATCGCATTTTAATCTATGATTCAACAATCTTTGAACTTATTGTATTCTTATACTTTTTTACTTAAAACGTGTCTTTAATATATTTGATCAAATACAGATGGATACATATAGATGTAAGCTATGATAGGTAAAATATTAATATCAATATATAGAATAACATTAAATTATGCTTCCCCCTCCTCCGCCCACATTAATAATATATAGTCGCGGTTGCTTACCGCTCTCGGAGCAGCTTCTGGCGCAGCTCCCGGCTGCACAGTTAGGATGAGCGCTGCATTTAGTTGCCCATGACGTATCCTAAGGGGGAGAAGCGAAACATATTGTTTAGATAGTAAACAAGAAATCCATCTTTAGCTTTGTTCATATCAACATCTCAGCTGAAAGAAGGAACACAAAACTATAACCCCCTGATAGGTATACAAGCCATGCACGATACCAGTTTTTTACTCGGCTGGCTGTGAGGACGATTCCACCTGATAGGGCTTTAAGACTTTCCACTCCCCATTTTGCATAAGTGGTGCAGTTATGGGTTTCCTTAAAATTCTGCTTATTCGGAAAGACTTTAACACTGAGGAAAGCAGGGATCTTCTACTAAAATCCCACATACCCTTCCTCCTCCAAACCTCCTACCTGCTCCACAACTCGATGTCACAAGAACTATTCAGAGAGGACTCAAACATGGAAACAAGAAACCTGAAGAAAAAGAAAATTGAAAAAGCAAAAATTTTAAAAATCTCTGATGATAAGCTTTACAGTATAAATTTTTCCGATGGCGAATGATGACAGAATCAAAGACCAAATAAATTTGATAAATTTATATTATGTAACCAAATAAATTTGATAAATTTATATTATGTAACCAAATAAATTTGATAAAGGAATTGAGCCTTTGGAACAAAATCAAATCTTTAAACCTCAATATCTCCAGAACTCGATGTTGTAAACCTTTGATATTTCAAACTCAGATTATTTGATCTAACAGAATTCATAGTTTGAAATATCTAAGGCCTGCAACAAAGATATAGTGATTAGAAAATCAGAGTTTATTGCAAAGATTCAATTCCTTTATATTATGTAACCAAATAAATTTGATAAATTTATATTATGTAACTAAATAAATTTGATAAATTTATATTATGTAACCAAATAAATTTTATAAATCTATATTATGTAACCAAATAAATTTGATAAAGGAATTGAGTCTTTGGAACAAAATCAAATCTTTAAACCTCAATATCTCCAGAACTTGATGTTGTAAACCTTTGATATTTCAAACTCAGATTATTTGATCTAACAGAATTCATAGTTTGAAATATCTAAGGCCTGCAACATTCGGTTCCAAAGATATAGTGATTAGAAAATCAGAGTTTGTTGCAAAGATTCAATTCCTTTATATTATGTAACCAAATAAATTTGATAAATTTATATTATGTAACCAAATAAATTTGATAAATTTATATTATGTAACTAAATAAATTTGATAAATTTATATTATGTAACCAAATAAATTTCATAAATCTATATTATGTAACCAAATAAATTTGATAAAAAAATGAGCTACAAGGTCACAAAATGGCATCAGTAATGTCGAATGAATTTTACCTTCTCCTTTCGTCTAGTTAATTGTGATATATATCTAATATAAAAGTATCAACAAAACATTTCATGAAAAATCCTTAATTCACAAAATATGCACTTTTCAGTGAATTATCAATCTTGTTAAACCTAACCAATTCTGAGTTATTATTATGACGGCTGATCTAACCAATAAACAAAACATAAACTGCAGTCATGTAAAATTGAACTCCAAAGGAATTGAGTCTTTGCCACAAACTCTGATTTTCTAATCCCTATATCTTTAGAACCCAATGTCGTAAACCTTTGATATTTAAAACTTATATTATTTTATCTAACAAAAGTCATAGTTTGAAATGTCTAAGGTTTACAACGTTGGTATTCAACAATATAGGGATTATAAGATCAGAGTTTGTGACAAAGACTCAATTCCTTTTAAGAGAATTGTAAAAAATTTGAAAATTTGAGTTTGAGCCAAAAAATCACTTTCTTTGTTTAAGAAGAAGCATATTTCAAATATAATTTGTTTGTTTAGGTACCACAATAATAGAATGATCAACTACGATACTGATCGAGGGATTTCAGTTGTAGAGGTAAAAATATATTATTTATTTTATGCATATATTGCATTTGCGAGTGGGAGAGTTTCTAACAGCATATTATTGAAAATATATTTATAATATATCTACCAGTGGTAGAGTTTCTAACAGCATATTATTGAAAATATATATATTATGTATGTACCAGTGGTAGAGTTTATAACAGCATATTATTGAAAATATATATATTATATATATCTATCAGTGGTAGAGTTTCTAACAGCACATTATTGAAAATATATATTATATATCTACCAGTGGTAGAGTTTCTAACAGCATATTATTGAAAATATATATATTATATATCTACCAGTGGTAGAGTTTATAACAGCACATAATTGAAAATATATGTTATATATCTACCAGTGGTAGAGTTTCTAACAGCATATTATTGAAAATATATATATTATATATCTACTAGTGGTATAGTTTATAACAGCACATAATTGAAAATATATATTATATATCTACCAGTGGTAGAGTTTCTAACAGCATATTATTGAAAATATATATATTATGGATGTACCAGTGGTAGAGTTTATAACAGCATATTATTGAAAATATATATATTATTGTTGACACAAATAAAAGAACAAAAGGGATATTTGGTAACTTTATTGAATAATAGCATGAAATAAGAAATAAAAGCAAAGTTTAAAAATATTGACCCTTAATTGGGAGTATCTAAACGGTTGAAAATGAAATAACATTGATTATTAGTGTTGAAAGGAATGGAACAGTTGGAGCTTCATGTTGGTGGAGCAGATCAACAGGAACTGAAACAGCAGGGCTTATCCAACCTAGTAGGCAGTGATCGCGGTTTTATCATGAGGTGGAGCTTCATGTTGTCTCTGGTTTACATGATAAACTGGGAACCCTTTGGGTAAGCACGTCTGCTGCTTACTGAGTATCTGCGCCATCATCATAAAGGAGTTAGTAGTTCCTGATCGGAGGTGTTCACATCTCAACGTTCTAAAGCTAACTGACGCTGTTCTCCACATGAGGAGACACATTTGGAGCGGATATAGTATTATGTATTGTGAATCTTGCGCGGTCAACTTCGCTACACAGTAGTAATCGTCTTCGTGTTTTCTTGAATTTGTTACAATTATGTATGTACCAGTGGTAGAGTTTATAACAGCATATTATTGAAAATATATATATTATATATCTACCAGTGGTAGAGTATCTAACAGCATATTACTGAAAATATATATATTATATATCTACCAGTGGTAGAGTTTATAACAGCATATTATTGAAAATATATATATTACAATCTGCTTGAAATAATGTAGGGATCAATACCAGATGATGAGGCAAAAAGAGACAAAGTAATAACAATATATGATCGACTTTATGCAAAGCTTTTTGTTTCTAGCTAGAATTTTAAAAGAAAAGTGTAAAGTACAAGAAATTTGCGGCGCTTCACAATATTCTTTCTTACGCTGACATTTACCTTTCATCCTTAAAAAAAATACAATTTACCATAATTAGCAGATTTGTGTGTTTCAGTTGTTAAGGCCCATAAATAACAAACTACAAAAAAGGCAAAGGGGTTCGTTTTGACCATTCAAATTGAAATTTAAAGTGTCTAGCGCAGGGACTTGAGACCAAATAATAGAGACTATCAATTATTTTTGATGATTTTTTATTATTTTTTCTAAGTCATAACTACTGGACAGTTTTAATTTTACAGAGACATTGTTTCTCAAATTTGTTTTAATTGATAATACGCATGCAGCTGCAGTTGAGAAAATTGATATTGTAATTGAAATTTTCAATGAACAGCCTAAATTTGGACTAGATAAACAGAAAACTAATTAAACAGTTTTTACTTTAATAATTTTAGATTAAAAGAGGACATCCGGTGTTTGCTAAATTCTGAGCTAACTGATCAATACATTCAAGAGTTTATTTTCCATTAAAGGAACTGAGAGAAGGAAGGAATGAGTCTATTGTATCTGTATGTATCTGTATCTTTATCTGTATCTGTATCTGTATTTGTATCTGCATCTGTATCTGTATCTGTATCTGTATCTGTATCTGTATCTGTATCTGTATCTGTATCTGTATCTGTATCTGTATCTGTATCTGTATCTGTATCTGTATCTGTATCTGTATCTGTATCTGTATCTGTATCTGTATCTGTATCTGTATCTGTATTTATATCTGTATCTGTATCTGTATTCAGGACAGCAATGGATCTACTCTAACTATTAGTTCTGTATCTGTATCTGTATCTGTATCTGTATCTGTATTTATATCTGTATTTATATCTGTATCTGTATCTATGTTCAGGACAGCAATGGATCTACTCTAACTATTAGTTCTGTATCTGTATCACAATCCGGAAACTATACTTGTAAACCAAGTAATATGAAACCTGACTCTGTGGTTGTAACTATCCTAGCTGAGAGCAAATCTGCTAATGCACTTCAGGTAAATATTTATGAATAGCTGAAGGTCAGTAAAGAATTCATGTCTAGGTCAGAACAAAATAAAGGTCTAGACCACAACATGATAAAGGTATCTAGGTCAGATCAGTATAAAGGTCTAGGTCAAAAAGGAATAAAGGCTAAGGTCAGATAATTATAAGGTCAAGGTCAGATCAGTGTAAAGGTCCAGGTTAATTTTGTTGTTGTTTCAGGATAACAAAGTGTCTGGTGTTCTGCGATCATCAATGCATTCATTTCTATGTTTCCTACCTGCTGTTCTTTTCATAGTTTCATCTTTTTAATTTTCGTTTCATCTTTTTAATGTGTCAAAAAAAGGTTGTTTCTTTACATTTTTATAGATGCTGCATCTATTTATCTAATACTCTTGTTTTTAATTAAATTCTTTTTTTAATATTTTTCTTATATAAATTTCTCTTTTCTTTTAAAGGATTTGAGTCTTTGCCATAAACTTTGATTTTCTAATCCCTATTTCTTTACAGCCCAATGTTGTAGACCTTTGATATTTCAAACTATAAATTTTGTTAGATCAAATAATCTAAGTTTGAAATATCAAAAGTTTACACAGCTGGCAAGTTGAAAAGATATTAGGATTTTAAAATTTGGGTTTGTGGCTAAGACTCAGTTCCTTTCTTAAGGCATTGAGTTTTTGCAACAAACTCACATTTTCTAACCCCTATAGCTTCGCAACCTGATGGTGAAAACCTTTGATATTTCAAACTTAGACTATTTGATCTAACAGAATTAATAGTTTAAGATAACAAAAGTCTAGTAGGAGAATGGGTTGCTAAGTTATAGGAATTAGAAAGTCAGAGTTTGTTGCAAATAATCATTTCCTTTGTTAATACTTTATTTTTAGTTTTACAAACAGTACTTTCGATAAAATCTTGTGTAAAAACTTAAAAAAATTTAACCTTAAAAATGTTTATGCTTTATCTATATAAAGTAGGAATAACATTATTTTTAAAAGTTTAAAATATTCCGTGTCGCGCTGTCATTATTTTGAATAGTTTTCATCTTGACAATGTTATGATTTCAGTTCTGATTCCCTCCTGTAATATTGTAAATCTAAATTGTATCATTTTGTTTTAAAAATGGTATGATCTAGTTGAGAAGAAAGACCAAGTTTAACATTTTTAAATCAATATCTAAACTTAAAAAATTTGTGAAACTGTTTAAATGTTAACGTAATTATAACAAACTTAGAAAACTTCAGACAATAAGTAAAAGATAAAATTTAAAATGTTTATTTTATAAAAGCAAACATTTTTGTATAACTACCCCCATCCCCTTATAATCCATTGTTGATTGTTAGACTAAAATTAATTGTATATTTAAGTATGTAAACAAGTTTTTAAATAGAAAACTTTCATTAATAACTTAGATTATTGAGAGAAAAGGGTAAAATATAAATACAGAGAGAAATAAGAGAATGAGGGGGGGGGTAAAGAGATCTCCCCCCCCCCCGGGTAAAGCAAAGGAGATTATAAAAGATTTAATAAAAGAAAAGAAGAAAAGATTAAAGAAAGAAAGTTAAAAAGAAAAGAATAGAATGAAAGGTGAAAGAACGATAGGGAAAATCGCAATTAAGAGAAAATTGGGGATGAGGGGAAGTAATGAAAGTGTAATAGAGGCAACAAAAAACCGGATGGAAGAAAGGGTAAGTCAAAAAGAAAAGATAGTAAGGGGATTGAAGAAAAGGACATTCGAAAAAACTAGAAAAAGAAAGAAGAGGAAAGAAAGAAAGGATGGAAGGGGGAAAGAATGAAGGAATTGTCTAAAAGAAGTGGAAAAAAGAGTAACAAGAAAGGAAGAGGAGGAAGTAAAATGTTGAAAACTGCAAAAGGAAGGTATAATAAGAAAGAGTAAGTCATATGGAATTACTAGTCTTTCGGGGCACTTTGCTGAACTAAATAAGATCGAGGATTTTGTAAAAAAAAAATGTTTCCTGGATTTTCAAAATTAATGAAAATCGAATTTGGTTGAAGGCTCATTTCTACAATTTTTATCATCCATATTGGCCGTTTTCACGTTATTGGATACAAACAGTTACGAACAGACAGAAAGACAGACAAGCAAAGTATTTTTGTAGAAGGAAGAACGTAAGACTAAAAAGAGGTTAAAAAGATAAAGGAAAATTATGAATAAAAGATCAAATGGGAAAGCATATACAAGAAGATTGGGAGGAATACAAAAGTAAAAAACAGAAGGAAGACAAAAAATGTTTTTTTAAATTGCTATTTAGTTTATTTTGTTTATAGATATCAAAACCATGCTTATTCCTAGAGAGATTGTCTGCTTAAAATTTTGTTTAATTTAATTCAGTGGCTTAGAGGATAAAACAAGGGCAGACAGATGAATTATAACAGTTAGAAACCAAAATAAGCGATTTATTTTTAAAAAGATATGTTTCGAGTTTTCAGCTTCCAAATATGCTACTACAAATTAATATTTTTTTACATATTTATTTAAATTTAAAATTTTTAACAATATTCTTTAAATAGTTTATGACAGCAGATGTAGATATATTGAAATTTCTATATTCCTTGTTCTTCTTTTCTTCTTTTTTTCATACATCATAAAATCATATTTTTGGCCAAATTCAAGATCTTATTCATTCTCATTTGTGTATTCTGTTTGTTGAAAAGAAAATTATATCGTAGCTTTATTTTTAAAATTTAGTTTATCAAATTATTCTAAAAGCGGTTTCAAATTTCCCGCATTTCCTAAGATTATATTTCCACACAAATTTTAAACAATGTCTGAATTTAATGCAAACAAGCATGAGAGGAAACGTTTATACTAGGCTATACAGAAAAAAATGAAAAGTATGATTTTTGTAAAAAACAGGTAAATCAAAACTTTTGCAGTAGGGGGTGAGGTGGCTTTTAAGTAAAATAAAAGTCCATATTTTAAGTTCATAGTAAATTAAAGGAAATGAGTTTTTCCCACAAACTAAAAATTATAATCCCTATATCTGTGCAACCCGATGTCGTAGCTATGAAATCTGACAAGGTTTACACCATCAGGTTTCAAAGAAATAGAGATTAGAAAATTTGAGTTTGTGGCAAAAACTCAGTTCCTTTAAAACCCATTTTTACTTTTACTTTAAATTTACTAATTTTGTATTTGCTTTTCTATCTTTTTTATTGTCCTATGTATTGATAAATTTTTAAGTATAAAAAATTTCTTATGCTATAGTTGACGGATTTTGAATGATCGAGATCAGATACGGACAGGATACACTTCATTATAGTTGTTGTAAATTGTGTAGGGGGGGGGGGGTTAGTTTGCTTCCACTTTGTCGGATATTTGTCGAAAGTGATAAATTTGTATTTTAAAATGATGAAAACTAAAGGCGCAAAAAGCTGTGCAGGTTAATTTCATACTCGATCATGCTTGAGCCCTGGAACCAGGGGCGGATACAGGATTTAAGTGAGGGGGGGGGGTGCTAGATTTATTTGGGAATCTGAATCCGTCAAGGGGCAAAGATCCTGCCGCCCCCCCTGTATTCGCCCCTGTCTACCTATATATAAATTTAGCTTGTCTGGGTGTTTGTTTGAATCCAATAAACGTCAAAACGTTAAAAGTTTTTTATTTTTATAAAATTTTGAAAATACGCGAAAAAAATATTTTGAAATCCGCAAACTTTTGTTTGTATTTGTTTTATACCTTGCTCACAGATATGGCCACGAATAAAAGTTTAAATAGAAGATGGGCGGGAAGCGCTCTAAAAACCTAGTTATATTAAACTACTGATGAGACCTCATATTTGAACATTGAAAACATATGTTCCTACTTCAAAATTTAATATAAGAAAATGACATTTCTTAATTTTCTCAATCTTAGTTTTTAAAACTGAAAATATTTTTCCTGTTCACAGGCATAACGGTCGTACAAGTAGGCCTGGGTATCGTGGAAATTAAGGAAAAAATGGTCCTTCTTATAATTTTACCAAAATAAACCACTATTCCATTTGAAAATAACTTATCTCCTTTGTTGAATTTCAAACGAAATGTAGTTTTTTTCAACGACGCTGAATCAAAATTTTCAAATAATTTTCTGAAATAATATTCTTTTTGAAGATTTTCCCTAAACTCAAAGAATAAGAATATAAAGAAATGCTAAATAAAGATTTGTCTAGGCAAGCCTCTTCATATTCATTGCAGTCAGCAATTATGCTTTCCCACTTCTCCCACTCCTCCCACTCCTCCCTCACTCCTCCCACTCCTCCCTCACTTCTCAATAATATCAGAGTTGACAAGTTTTGAATTATCTTCTAAAAAGGATGGTTTAGGATATTGAAAATTATAGATAATAACGGAAAGCTTCGATTTTTTACTAATATTTTTTTGGCAAGATTAGGATTTGTATGCTAAGGGGGCGATTAACAATATTTTCCATGGGGAAAGTGAATAATTAAAAAGCTCACCAAAATTTTGTAACCTCCCCACCCCCCTAGTATTTTGTCAAGGTATTTTGATGATTTTTTTGTCAAGATTTTGACATTCTGTATGCATAAAATGCTTTTTTTTCGACTACGAAATGTGCACCCTTCAGGAGGTGGGTGGTGAGGATAGTAAAGGTCGGAGAGTGTTATGAATGCCAGAAACAAGCTTAAAACACTTGATTTAATGAGAATCGATACCCATATTTTATACCATGCCCATAGAATAAACCCAGAGTGGGGATGGGGTCTCTTTAAAAACTGAAGGTAGTTGGGGTAGTGAGGGTAGTTCCCATTCAGATTCAGCGTCAAGGGTGGGGGTGGGGTCTCTCTAAAAACAGACGGTAATTAGGGTAGTAAGGGTAGTTGCCATTTAGGTTCACCTTCAAGGGTGGGGGTGGGGTCTCTATAAAAAAAAATGTTTTAAATATTTAAAATGACTGAAAGAATTGGCCCCAGCAGTTTGAATATTTTAAAAATCCAAAGTTTAAAATCAAATAAAAGGGAGTAGAAGTTGCCCACTCTCTCACCGTTGTGCGGGCTTGTACCATAAATGTGTCCAGGGGGAATGTCTCAAAGTTATCCAGGACGTCCTGGAATATACACCTCGATTACAAAAAAATATTATAATTACTTAAAATTAGCTGGACTCGACATGTTCCTTTAACTAAACAATGTTAGTGTTGCTGACCAATGATATCGATGTCTTATTCATGTTCTATCCTGTAATGACGTCACTGATCCGTGCTATTCCTAAACTATGTCCTATCAAATGGTTATCAAGTTATTTTTTTAGTGTCTGATGCTTCAACCGGTGTCATGCACCTGTTCATCTCCCTGCGACATTACACTACATCTCCCTCATGAGTGTAAACCGTTTTAACACAA